ACTAATCACAGTCGCGCATTCTTCTCATACTTGACCGTGATTGGCCAATTTCTTAAAGCTTAGGGCTTAAATCATCTATTGTAGACTGGGACTAATGACCGATCAGGCTTCTCTCTGTATACACTTCCGGTTATGGTCTGTGGTTGCGCGACAGTCGTGAATCGTATTCGCGTCGCTTTACGATTTCCAGTGTTTCCACGTTTCGTATGTGCGCTCGATTAAGATGTCTATGTTATTTAACGGCGACAATTCCGACTCTGACGGGGAGTTGAAAATAAACGCGGAATACGCCAACATTTACGATAACTTCCGTCAAAAGGAGGAATTGCACAAACGTGAGCGAACCTAACCTACGTGTGCGCCTTAACCTCGTGTTACTCGCGTGGGATGTGAAAGACACCCCAGCTGAAGAAATCAACCAAATTTGCAGAATGAAACTTTTTTTTTATATCGACCGTTGCATAAATTATTTCACAATTAAAGAACCCCGCTTATCCTTGTCTAGAGAACATACGGAGTGTCATCAATTTTTATTTTACTTTTATCTTCTGATTGTAAATCACCAGAGAGAACAATACAAATTTTTATGTAACGCTGAGGTAAAATATATCCCTCGCGAGTAACTACGTTGGACGAAACACTGTAAGCTTGACAGAAGAGCGTAGGAGATGTTTGCTACATCGTAGAAACATTCGACTCGTAGTCAGCGGGTCTCAGGTTTGACCTGTATTTGCAACTCTGTAACAGATTGAGTCAAAGAACTAGAGAATTGGAAAATAAGGCTAAATACAGATGTGCTATACGTCGTAGCGTCAAAGATTACTTAAACATAAGAAAGCAAAGAAAACGTATAAACATTTTTATTGAATACACGCTCGTTGGGATGCAATACCGTCCTTGAAATTTTCTGATTCATCTAACTCTTCACTAACTTGTCGATCAATCTCTAATGTAAAAGTTAAATTTAGGATTTGCTGACTGCAAGTCGAACGTTTTTTTTTTCTACAGGATATCCGCAAAAATTATATTAAAGCAACATAATTACAATTAGCAGATAAAAGAATTAAAAAACTAATCTGTCACATCTCGCCTAATATACATAATCTTAAGTTACTACATGAAATTGTTTCGCGTAATTTTTTGTGTATTTATATATGTTTTCTATTTTTATTTATTTTGCAGTGAAGGCAAGATATGGAGAGGATGCTGCATCTTCGGAGGACGAGTCGTCCAGTGACGATTCGTCGGACGATGAGGATGTATGTTGATTTTCAGTTCGACAAATTACTAATTGCTCCTATCAGATGTAGTATTACAGATATTTTCTTAACTTTGTTAGAAAATTTTGTATTTTACATTCCTTTTCATCCGGCAACAAATCTAATTATGTATTGCCAATAATACTAATAAACGCATAATGATAATTAATTCTTTTCAGATTAACAATTCAGAATTTGATAATCAGTTTCTCATGGCGTTGGCTTATTTGAAATCTGACGATCCAAGTAAATTCGATGAAAAGGTTCAGTTTTTTAATAATACCGATAAACCTGGGACATCAGAAAGTGCTGAAGCGGGAGGAAAGGAAAAGAAGAGATCGAAGAAAGAGAAGCCCCTCTTTTTACGCGATTATGAACGTAAGATAATATTAGAGAGAGACGGACGATTTAGTAGCAGCGAAGATGAAGATGACGCAAGACAAGATGCTAAATCTAGAATGCCCACTTACGTGCAGGAACAAAAAGAATTGAAAGACAGTTTTAAATGCGCTCTAAAAGATGACGACGAAGATGACAATGATCTCCTAAAGATAAAACAAAAGACGGAGGATGAGAAGCACAAAGTACTTTTAATTCTTTCATTCTTAATAATTTTACGCGTATATATTATTATATGTAATAATATTGTTTTGTTTGTTTAGGAAGAAAAATCGTACAAGGAGTGGTTAAAAGGTCAAGAAGTGGAGATGGATTGCAAGGAGAAGGAAATGCTTAAACCGCTGCGTGATTTTTGGTCGAATCCTAATTTAGACTCAAATGAGAAATTCTTGAGAGATTACATCTTAAATAACAAATATATGGATAACGAATCTTACGGCGGTGATTTAGAGTACAATCATGTTATTCATGACAGCGATGAAAATTTGTCAGAAGATGAGAGGACTATCCAAAAGCAAGAGGAATTTGAACATAAATACAATTTTAGATTCGAAGAGCCGGATCAAGAATTTATCAAGAGGTATGGTTTTTTTACTCAATGAATAAATTATCACCTGTTAGAATTGGTTTTCGTGAATTTTACGTTTCACTAAGGTATCCACGAACAATGGAAAATTCAATGAGAAAGAAAGATACGCACAGGGCTCAGAAGAGAGCCACGGTTAAGCAAAGGAAAGAGGAAGAGAAGCAGCAAAAGAGAGAGGACCTGAAGCAATTGAAGGCGTTAAAGCGAAAGGAAATAGAAGAGAAAATAGAAAAATTGAAAGAGATCACGGGTAACATGATTTTTTTAATTCCCGAACATGTAAAGTTTATATCAAACGGTTCAACGTCATGCTAATGCTCATACTAATTGCAGGAAATGACGATATGCGCTTTGATAGCGTTGATTTCGATTCCGATTTCGATCCAAATGAACACGATAGAAAGATGAGAGAAATCTTTAACGATGAATATTATACTGGCGGCCAAGACGAGATGCAGAAACCAGAATTCCCGGAGATCGATGAAGAATTGGATATCGAGTCCAAGTGGGACACGTATGATCCAACAACGGATAAAATAGAATCTACGCCTTACGACGAGCCTCATTGTGAAGATCCAGATTTTAATGTGCTTATTCTAGTTTATCTCTCATATACATTTTGCTGATGCATTTCGTATAGGAACGTCACTAGTCGTCTGATTGCAGATGGATGCAGAATATGACGGATCCCGAAATCTGCAAACTGAACTCATCGAAAATACGAAGAAGAAAAAACGAAGGAGGCGCTCTAAATTCGCTGAGCTTATAACAAAGGAGAAGCCCAAGTTTGACCCGAAACAATTTCCTTCGTATGCAGATTATTTCGATCAATATTACTCATTGGATTATGAGGACCTGATCGGAGACATGCCATGTAGATTTAAATATCGGAAAGTGGTGCCAAACGATTATGGGTTAAGTGTGGAAGAGGTGAGTGTTAACCTTTTGTGTAAAATGTTATTAATATTAAGACTAATCACTCTACTAGCAGCATTTATTGTGTACAACAATTTTCATAATTTAATTCAACAAACATACATTCTAACGTTTTAAGATTTTAACGGCTGATGATAAAGAGTTAAATAAATGGTGTCCTTTAAGACAAGCTCTTAAACATAAGCCAGAACATGTAGAAAAGAATGAGATTCGAATATATAAAGAAAAAGCAATGAATGAAGCACGTAAGAGGAAAATTCTTAAGAGCTTATATACGTAAGTATTACATCAGGATTAAGAATGTATGATATACTATGTACATATAGATTTTATATTAATTATGTACATAATTTAGTGAACCAGAAGAAAAGGAAGAAGAAGAAAAGGATAAGCTTGTCAACGAGCAAATCGAAACCAGTAATAAGAAACGTAGACGGAAGAAGAAAACTAAAGCCAACGATCCTAATGTAGAGTCTACAAATACTGATGTCGTTTCTAAGGAAGAAAGCATGTATACTACAAAGGATGGTGTACAGAATAATTTGCATAATGATGATGACAGAAAGGAGGATGTAAAAAATAAGGATGCGCAAGAGCAAAACACAATAAATATGAGCAAGAAACGGAAACGAAAGAACAAATTAAAAAAGGCTGATAGCGACGATCCGATTTCAAAGAAAATGAAGACCGATAACGCAATAAAGAAAGACTCTCAAATGAAAGCGGCCGGTAATAACATTAAAATAGAAAACAATAATGAAAAGGTGGTAGCTATCAAGAAATCTGCAGGCCAGAAGAAAAACAAGAACAGGAGCTCTCAATTTAACCAAACAAATACTGGAAAGCGCAAACAAGATTATGATGATCCAATATTATCTTTGAATGCAGAAAGATTGAAGACATACGGAATAAATGCTAAAAAATTAAAAAATAAGTTGAAATACAGCCATAAAAAATTGTGAATGTTATTGTTCTGTATTTTTATGTTTGTAAATATAATAAATACAAAATCATATCTGTATAATTTTAGGTTCTATGTGACATTTACGTACATATTTATGTTAATATTTTTGCTTTCATAGATATAAAATGTAAAGTCTAAAAATATATACCATATCTAATTCTCATATGCGATATGATTAAATATAATGTACATATTTAGACTTGTAGATTTTATATTTTATGTTTATCAAGTGGAAAAGATATATATGCGGAATGATCGAATTAAATCGTTGCAGAGCTACAGTAAAAAAAAACAGAATAAATGTGTCGCTACATATGACCGTGACAAGCTTAATACCAAACATGTGTGTACGTAGAATATAAAGGCATTTATATACGCGTACGCAAGGCTGGATAAGAGATAGCAGCCTGCGACTGCGCGCACCCTCGAGTAGGAGTGGTCTCGAATTAGGGCGGATCCGCTTTCGGATGATAAACGACGTTTGCGGATTATTAGGATCGTAGGCTGCTGTGTTTGCCTTTCCACAATTTCCATCTCTAATCCAGGCCGTATGCTTCGCTCGGGAGAAAAATACACCCCCATTGATCCGGCACGTTACGGATTTCACTTACCGAGTTCTTCACTTGTGTCTCTTTCTCTTTTTCGATCCGTTGAAATATTTTAACCGGTATAATTATAAATATAAAGAACTTCAATTAATAAACCACAATTATTTTAATTTTTTTTTGGGCAGTCTCATTGTCAGATTAATGTTTAAGCAATACGCACTGCATCTCTAGAAAATTAAATTAACTGAAAAGTGTCATGAAAAGTTATGAACATTATTTTATTTGCGTCATAAATTTTTTATGGCACATTAATAAGATTATTAATCACGGTGGCATATGTTTTTTATTCTTTGCATTGAATTTTTGTCGCAACTGTTTCGATTTTACAGATTTCTTAGAAATATATCTTCACACCTGCAGTACTTCTCTAAACTCTTATTATTTGTGAATTAATACGTTGTATATATTTTCTATGTTATCTAATTTATAATAATTCTCTTCCGTATGTAATGTTAAAGAGTAAGCAGAATTATCCATCAAACTGTGTGAAACGTGATCATATATAATTAAAAACAAAAGACTCGGCCACTCGCGGGAGAAAAGGGCGGCTGTGGAAAACAATATCGTTGATAATGTATCTGCGACGCCTCTTAAGAATTTTATTTAACGGGAGAGTACAACATTGGGGTGGGATCGGTCCGGAAACCCTCGGCAAACCTTCTTTCTCCCCCGGGTACAATAAATCAATCCCCTTGGCTCGACGAGGAGTACCAGTAGTAGCAGGTGGCTCCTGACGGCCACTGGCGTTCGCGCCCTTAATTCCCAATTAATGTTATCCACGATGTAAACGTACGCTCTATACGTCCCCCTTGGTCCCTAAACCGTACGTTCGAGCATGTTGCCTCGCAGATTATGCCTCGAATGCGCCGACGGGACATCGTCGGTTGCATTAAAGCAAATCGCGATTCTACAGTGAAATGTGTTCTCTTACTCGCAACTTACATCGTTTGAATAATCAAGCCTTTTAGTCGACATTAACCGGCCGGTGTTTTAATACAGAAAATTTATTGCGAAAAATATCACCTCAGCCGGGGTTTGGCACTCGACTTGGTGTAGACGCCCGCTTAGAGAGAAGGGAAGTCCAGGTACAAACCCAGGTTCAAACACTGGCCGAGGTGATATTTTTCGCCAGAAATTTTCTGTATTAAAACACCGGTCGGTTAATGTCGACTAAAAGGTTTGATTATTGTTATCTATTACTGGCAACTTAAAGAGATTTCGATGTTTAAATCATTTGAATTCTTGTTTTTTGTCAGAAATAAGATCGTGCGGCGATTGCAGCATTCTACAAATAGAGAGAAAAGATGAAAATGAATTGGAGAACAAGCGCAAAACACTACGAGATCCGCACGTCGAAGGAACAACAGGCAAAAAGGTAACACATGCATTACTTTTATATGTATTACAATTAAATATAAAACATGGTATGAGGATAATATTGTTAATTATAACGGATCTGTGGGAGAAGAAAGAGAGAAGTCCCGCGAAAATTTCACGTTGCGACTCGCGCGTATAATTGATCTGAGAATACAGGAGGCTGTGCCCGAGTTAGGAGCTATTGAATTACGGCAGGGCCGAATTTCACGGGCTAACACCTCCATCTGGACGGTAGCCGAGCAGGATAAGTGCACTTAGGGTAGCGTAATTGACACGATATCCCCGCCGGCGTTCTAATTGGCGGAAAATCGTCGGGTGGAATTCGATCTCATCGGATCCTCGTTAACTGATCGGACAATTAAACACCTTGCAGCGTCGTCCCTTCCGCGTCTACGATCGCGAAGATGAGAACGTAAAGAGGGCTCATCGAGCGCTATAAGATAAATTTAGCCCGGCCAAAATCACTCTTTATCTCGCGACTATCGCCTGCTTAGAGAGTTGACGGAGATAAGACAAATCGATATCGTTTTTGTAGAAAAAGATATATAACATTTTATAATATATACATAAATACTCTAATTTGCTAAAAATATATTATCATATCCGTGCATAAAGGTTTTAACAGCCATTAAGAAAAAAAAAGAATTGACTTCCTTTTGTCTTCCCGTCACACTACGCTTACAAAGTATACGTATTCAAACAATCACACTTGAACAAATCTTCAATTTCGTTAATCCATACGGAACGATGAGAAATGAGACCAAAAGTACGCGAAAATTTTTCTCTTATGGATAAGCAGCTGTTGTAAACACATCGGTCATAGTGAGATTCGTGCCGTTGTATTTGATAGTAGAATTTGATGACTTGTCCCCTGGTAAATCTCCGACTTGGATAAGAATTACAAGATACGTGGTGACCGAGCCAATGACCTGAGAAGAAAATTTGATAATTTCATTCTGCAGTATCTTCATTTATGGACATATACATATACTAGCGAGTGTGAAGCTTAGAGACTCCTGTCTTCAGGGATAAGATAAAACATTGAAATAAGAAACGATATAAAATATTTAATAAATTATATTAATTTAATTATATAACTTTAGTAAATTCAATTAAATATCTAATTAATAATTGCTTTGTTTGGCCATTTTTTGGTTATACATTTGCCGATATAGTTTTTTACATCTTTCAGTATTAGTTGTAGAAGAAGAAACCATTAAATCGATATCAATTCGATATCATTTCGACGTCGATCGACGAGTTATTTCTCTTCGCTGAGAATCAAAATTAAAAAAAAAAGCAATTGATCAAAGTGACAAAGTAAATGGCAGAGGTCCGAAAGATCCCACTTCTACAGTCGAAGGTTAAAAGCTCTCATTTTAGTGGAGCATGAAATATTTCGTATATTTTAATCTCACGTCATGCTCTAACGTTAACATGCTACACGAGATTTAATAACTTTTGACGGCTAATTGCAGGTGTTATGAGTCGAGGTTTGAAATTAAACGCAAGTGAAGTATGTAATACCATCAAAAAGTATATGAAAACACTCGCGAACTACGGTGTTATTAGGATGGAAATTAAAGTGGGTCGAACTAACACGGCGTAATCAGCTCGCGAGCGATTACGCAAAGGTCTATACTTTCATACGATAAATCTCGAGGAGCTTATCACACTTTAACATCTCCGAAACGACTTTTTGCTTTACATGAAATTCAGATCATCCATCAACGCTTACCCCGTGAATGAACGTGTGATCCAGATTGAAGAATCCACACGCAGTGAAAATTAACGGGTTCTGTATCAGCTGCAGAGTGAAGTCCCGTATCTGTAAAAGACTTGGACGTTGATTTCTGTTTCTCACATGCTACGTTTGATTAACACACGACGATGAAACTTACCTCCGCGCGAAATTCTTTGCTGGTCGACGGCTCGTACAGCTCGCAGATTATATCGCCCGTGTTCGCGGCCTGCAAAAGTTCACGCATGACGAGCCAGTCTATTTTTCTCGGTACTCGAGAAGACACTGACGTATTTAAAAGAATGTATGTTTTCTCACTGATTCCAAAACGAATGAGAAAAAACAAATAAAAAGGCCTGTGAAAATTTTGCTTGCCTCGATGCTCGCCATTGCGCACATATGATTTATGACGAGGACCTTCGACGAGTAGAACAGAATCCAGCCGACAAGCGGTATCATCTCCCGTCGGAAAGTTTCCCTGGGCATGGTCTCCCAGAAAATCGAATAAGCGTAGTACAGAAGACTGGTGATGAACACGAACGATACCGTCATGGAAAGGAGGATCTGTATGCCGTACGCTTCATTCGTACTCCTGGTGGACTTGATTAATTCCAAGTGGACCTGCCTTCGTTCGGCATAAAAAACAGAACGTTGTCAGCCAAATCGTTTCGGAAAAGTATACATTATGCAATTCCGTTGCAACAAGATGTTGTTGAACCAAAATATAAAAATTGCAAGTAGATTTTATATTTGATTAGAAAATTATTAATACTTTCAAGGATGTATTATCTAATTATGTCCTTGAATTTCTTTTTCGATGAATAAATGATTACGATTCAAAACATTTATTGCATCTCTAGACTCGACATAAACACGATCTGCGTCGTTATCTGAGTCTAACAGCGTAATAAATAAAATATTAGCATTCGCAACTGTGTGTGTGTGTGTGTGTCTTGTAATAATGCCGCGCGAATTCGATATCGTTATTAATATCGCATTCGTTCGATACCGTTCCTTCGTACAAGCGATAATACGTCGAGAGCATTTTACGAAAATACCAACAAATTATGAAAATTATTTCTATGATAATGCATTAGATGCACTGAAATAATGGTATAACTGAGAATCGAACATAAAAGATATTAATTTCAATTTTATTAAAAATAATCTGTGAAGATAAAATAAAATTAAAAAATTAAAGAACACTTATTGCAATTATATTACAAAGAAACATCTGAAAGGAATAAGTTCTTTAACAACATGAATGATATTCTTTATGTAAAATATTATAACAATATAATTGGATTTCTTATTTTGAATTGATAATTTATTACAGATTTTACACCCAAAAAATTAATAAAACACAACAATGAAAAATAATAAAATAGATAATATAAATTAATATTTGGAATTTAGAATATTTAGAGTTTAGATATTCAGATAGCTGTCTACGTCACCGAATACCACATTTAGTTTGCGAAAAATGCAGTATTCCTCAATCAAAAGAGTGTTAATTCGGAAATAAAGCGAAATAGGCCAAGAGTTGATGTCATTCACGACTCGTAGTCATGCAAATGGCATAAGTGCAAGTGATGTGCACAAAATGCACGTGTGCGTGCACGCATGGTGAAAGGAATTACGAAAAAATTTATTTAAATGTGGCACGTGCTGAAGTAAAAATCTCACTTGACGGCCCTCATCGTGTCGGTGTTGTCCTTGGTCCTGCGATCCTGCTGCGTCGCGGATGTGATGAAGGTACCGCTCTTGTTCCACTCGTCCTTCATTTTCAGCACCCTCTTGTGCTGCGGCGAGTCGGGCGTGGTCGTTAACATGCCTTGCAGCAGGTTGTTCAACTGCTCGAACCGAGTCTTCGAATAGCTTCAAGCGCGTCCGTGGCAAGAGACGAGACAGAGAAAGGCCAGCAACGATTTACTCAGTATATAAACGGAGAGAATTCTTTCCTAAAATTCACCCTGAAAATCACGTAATCGTGGAACAACGGTGGCATTTCGAAGAATTTTATGAGAGTTGTTTTGAAATTTTACCATACATTTTACTAGCAATTATACTAAAGTATACATTTTATTAATAGAACGTATAGCAAAATTAAAAAATTCTTCAAAATGTCGTGTTCTTCCACGATTACATGATTTTCAGGGCAAATTTTAAGAGAAAATTTTTTCCGTGTGGTTTTCAACGATTATTCAATAATTGCAATTAGTGTCGCGAAGCGCAATAATGTTGCGATAACAGTTTGCAGCAAGTAGTCGAGATTAGATCGTTGAAAGTAATCGTTGATCGTTGATCGAATAATCGTTGAAAACTACACACTTTAGAAATTATTGCGAATCAATGCCCAAGCTTCTCGTAGACGAGATTGATTAGCGAATCATTGTTTCGTACTAAGATCGCTTTACCTGACCCAGTGCAAGAACGTCACGTCGCTCACGTAGAGCAGCACGACGGGATAATTTACGGCGAACATGATGACGATTCTCATATGCACCGGCGTCTCCTCCACGAACATCCCGTCGTAATTGACCACCATGAATACAACGAATACCACCACGACGAACATGAGGGCATAAAGCTGCTTCAGAAACAATTTCCGATAGTTCTTCTGCAGTCCCATTTGATCCATGGTTTTCTCGCACATCAGGATGCGCATCATCGCCGCCTTCATGTGCTGCGAAAGTCGAAGAATAATATTTGCGTCGACTCCTACTCGAGGACGAGAAGGTCTAAGCTGTACGAGATCAAGTTCGATAGACCAAGAGTCTACTTTCCAGCTGAACAAAGAACTTACGTTTGCAATATACGAACGTTGGTCTTTTTCTCCTGAACTTTCAATCTAACCGAATCACAGGACTCCCTTACCTTTCTCCTCAACCAGCCGCAAGGGATGAGGCACAACGTCAAGCAAATGTTGGCGTAGAAGATCGCTTGGAACGTCGTGTTGCCGAGATCGATCACCTTGCGCCTCCAATAAGAGTCCAAGTCTTCCACCGACAGCTTCATCAGATAACAATAGCTCACCATGCAAATCAACGAATACGCGACATTTAGGAGCCTGCCCCGCTTGCTGGACCAAATTCCCGTGCCGACTATAATGTTCGCCACTAACAGCGGGATGATGCTCTCCTGTATAGTTGTCGGCTGGAACATCTTGGTGGCTGATGATCAGGACACACCCTCTTGAGAACGACGAACGACGGCGCCCTTCGCCGTCGACTATACACACGTACGCGCACCTCGCAAGAAGTGAAACGATGAATATCTGCGGCCGTCTGTGTCACCTCGCGTGTTCCACACACGTGCGGACAGTGTAATACTAAATGTCACCCCCGACAAGGGTGGGCGGCCGACGGCGGTCGGTGGAACAGGTGGCGGCGGCGCGGGCGGGTGAAGTGGCGAACGCGCGACCCAAGTAAACGATGTTCGCGATATATGATGTCTCGTGATGTCTGTGTCCCAAAGGATTCATTCGCCCGTCTCATAATCAATATCGGCCCGCGAGCGTATTGCGTAAACAGCCGTTTGCGCCTCTTTTTATTCCTTACGCCATAGGATTCCAGAGTTCCTGAAATTTTGCTTCTAGATCCTCGGGATGTTAGGTAATGTCCCCGAATTAAACGGCGACAGAAATTTATTTCGGAAGATTGCGATCACTTTCGACCCTCGAGGAGACGCAATATCAAATTCCTTTCTACTCGTTTTATTACTTTTAGCCCCGTGTATTAATTTTCTTTTGACGAGATGCAGGAATCGAAAGAGAAATTTAATCCCTCGTTAAAAAACATTTTTTTCGTTTGGCATTAATTTATTCTTAATTATCCGTGCAGAGGAGTGCTAATCGCGTATTGTGGAATGTTCGAAGCATATGTTTAAGAAATTATAACGAGCTTCATTCGTTAACTTGCGGGACATCGAATAAAGCGCGATGGAATTACAATTATTGATGAAACGGTAGTATTATGCGATAGATAATGATAAATTTAAATGATGACAAGGCGGGTGGTGCGAAACGACAAATACATCGGGTGTCCGTGATCTCATAATGGATGAATGCCCAGGAGACTTCATCGGCAAGATCGATATCGTGCGAAGTATCAGGCTAAGAGCTATCTTGTTAACGGCAGTACGAGGGTAAAATTGCAAGCTCGCGTTACTGACACAGTTGTAAAATAGAGGCGCGATACACAATAAGAAAGATTTTTACAATCGATTATTATATTCGACGAAATTATATACTCTATTAATTTCATTAATTATCCCTACAATTTTTTTTTGTAACATCAATACCTTCGCTACGATGGCACGGTTGGAAAACCGGCCGCTATACAGTATACGCTTTACCTTTAGTGGTCAGCGCTGCCATACGTGTGACGCCAGGCTCTCTCGTGGAGAACCGGTGAGTCACACATACGTGACGCGAGATAGCGGACGTGTTAATATCGCTGCATAAATTTCATTTTACTACATATTATTTATGATAATTACCAGCAATTATCGTGCATATTACGAGAAACTCAGGTTCGAGAAGTCGTACATTCCGATATATAGATCTGATAACACCGCTGACGTTGTAGCAATAAAGGGAAATGAGACGCGAGTATGAAGATGGAATGGAGAATATATAATAACCGACGCACACGTTTATTCCGAGTCTATGTTTGTACGACCGCGTAATACTTTTGTGTTCAACATCAATTTCTTTGTCGTGGTTGACATTTGCAACCAAACAGCCGGCCATTCCAGTTGAAGATGTTAAACATCTAGAATATATGAAGTGGACATTTGTGTCAGCATATTAATTTATTATATTAAATTGCAAAAGTTTACGACTTATATATTGCCATATTAAATAATTATTTTTGCATTTACAAAATGAATTTATAAAAAATTGTATCTGTCAAATTTACAGAGATTGAATGGGGGGGAGGGATGCGCTACACTGGTCTCATTTAATAAATTACGACGTGTACAATTTTATTGATGGAGATTAAAGGAAGATCATAAAAGAAAGATTATCTCACTAAATATTTTATAGACTACCGTACTGCAACTCTATTTTATACAGTTTTTATTTTTATGACGCTTAGTAACATTTGTCTGGCGTACACATTAATTTTTTCACAATTTAAGCAATTCCGAAAGGTAATTTTTTACTAATACCTACAAGTATTTAAAAATGTGTATATTGTATAGCATTATTTGATTCCAGCGTATTGCTCACTTGTACCATGATAACGATGTAGATAGATACAATTCTCAAAATCTGTAAACAAGAAAAGAATTAACATACTGCATTTATGGTATGGTAAAATTATAAAAGTTACCTCTACACAATTTATAAAAAAAAAATGTGAAGAGAATATGATCGTTTAGAGAATCGAGACAAAGAGAATCGAGTCTTTTTAATTGCTCTCTAATAAATTTTGTCGCTTCACGTCAAAATCGTTGATACAACGCGAATCGCCTATATCGTAATAATTTGATACAAACCATGCTTAAGACCCGATTATCCAGAATAAGACCAAACGCCGAGAATGTCACTGGTCTTTGCAAAATTTGGATACCAAACTGTTGAATCTGAAACAATTGCTCGCGATAATGATATCATACGGTAACGTAAAAGAAATTATTTTAATATATTGTAATAAACGTACTTCCTCCTGCATATCAATATCTGCGTCGCAACCATAAATTGCATGAATAATTTCAATGGTTCTGTTCCCCTACAAATTAACATTACGTGATCTCATATTGAAGTCTCTAATTAGACCATAATAGACGAGATAAGTTACCTCAATGGTCGCATTGCTGCAAGCGCGATTCAAAAAAACGGCTTTTAATATGTTAAGAAGACACAGCATCACCATCACAAACGTTTGCCCTACCAAACCTTTGACTTTATGTTGATTCATAATGTATCGGACGTACAAATTATAAATAGCTTCAATGAGAAACAGGATAATTACTCCTATCTCCCAAGCTATCTGCACTCCAAGAATAGTGCAAACTATTTGTGATACTTTACACAACTCCAGATGCACCTGTCTTAACAATGCTCCAAGGAAATCAGTAATTTTTATTTAAAAAGAACTGTCTTTTGTTACTCAACAGGACTTAAAAAAATTTAATATAAATATTTCATTACGAAAAATATTAATCAAGCGTACTACCAAATATATTTTTCAATTCATAGAGTACTTCATAGCAATGTACTTTTATAATTCCTTCTACTCACTTAATTATTTGTAATAGATGTTTACGTTCCTGGCGTATTGTCATCGCGGTATTGCGTCCTTGAGGTCGATTCCGAAGTACCCTCTGAAATTCTTTCTCAAACTGAAATGGAGAGTGAGATTCAGTCTGATTGTGTGATGCGACCGGACCTCGCTTCCACGGTATAGGAACATTCATTCGAGACTGCGTCCGCTGACGCCATCGAAATATCATCTTTGTGGAAAGAATCTTTTTCCGTTGCTCAGCATCCATGATTTCGGCATAATCTTTCATTTCAAAAATGCCTACTTTCACCTCTTCCATTGATAAATTTGTTAAGCTTTGGCGCAAGAACTGGTTGACCAATTCGAATTTTATTTGTAAGCATCTGCATTATTGCATAACAAAATGTTAGATAAATGTTAGATAGTATGCATTTAAGAAGTTAATGTCGTAAATTGTATTATAAACATTTTCAATCTAGTATAAATCTAACATACTTTCTCTTACTTTTACGAAACAAACAATAGATTAGAATCTATTACATAACGTAAAACGAAATTTCAGAGAAAGTTATTGCGATTAATATAATTTCAATGTTACTGTTACATGTAATAAGTTATGTTAAGTAACACAATATTCATTATTAATTTTTCACGCACTAATTAATGAATATTAATGAATACATGTAATAAGTACATAAACTTCTGGATTTAGACAGAGTCAATTTACATACCTGGCAAATATGAAAAATTCGAAGACATTAATAGAGTTGACAGTGAGCGAATACGTGTATACCAGTATAAGATAAATTGAAGTAAATACGTCGGTGCGTTTCTGCAAATGAAAGAAAACCACGGTACACACCATGAAGGCGAGTGTAATCCAAATGGTTATGGTTCCGATTGTCACGAAATATATTCTGTCGTAATTCACTGTCAATCCCAACTGTCGCAATGTTGCATCGACCTCGAAGATCTTTTTGTGACAAACTTTGAATTGCTACAAACATGAATTTGCAATGAGATAATATTATAATTTTTACAAAAGCACTTACAAACGCAGTTTTATTCTAAGGTTGTGTTGACTAGTTTATGCACCACAAACGTGATATGATAAGATATCACATATTACTTCATTCGTTCACCTTTGTGTGCCACCAGCCTAGCAACATCTTCATTATTACAGACACAATCATGACGTACATCACTAATTGGTATAGAACGTATTCCAGCTTCATCAGTTTAACGTTTGCATAGTATTTTTCTTCTACACGCACCGAGCCATTGCAAAATATGATGTAAAGAAAGGAGAGATATATCAGGCTAAGTATAGGTCTCGGATGACCACGTGGGTATTCAAAAACACGAAGTCCCAATAAACAGCTAACAGTTGTCACCAATGCTATCGCCTCGGAGAAGTGCTTAGGACTTGCAAATCGCTTCATCTCACCAGATCTCTCTCTCTCTCTTTCTATCGACTGATATTCTCCGATTGTCATTTACTTAGACGAAATGTGTTGGTTTTTAGTTTTCAGCTGATCGAATATCTGACAATGACATGTTCAAGATCTCGATAGTATTTAGTAGTGGTTAGACGTGAAGTCATATATTCCTCGCAATTTCTTGTCGATTTTCGCGTCAGTGTCAAAACGTCTGGAGATGTTTGCAGCCGTAGATCAAATCGTTAGTCCGATTTTCGTGTTTCTCGTAGCGGTATCGAATATTTTACTAATCAATAACTTACTCATTCTTTTCCATGCATGTTTCGGTGTTAATTACAGCGACTATGTATTAATTCCGGAAATAATCACACATCACTCTATTTTTTTTCTCGATATTCGCACTAGACTAACGTGTAAATATCACGTAACTGATTATATTTCCAGATCTCTATTTTGGAAATCAAACATCGATGCAATTCACTGTCTTCTCTCGCTGACTTTTCGTTGCCTTCAGTTCACAAGTCGATGATCCACCTTCGTCGAAGGACGAAGAAGCATACTTGAGTTCGTAGCAATTATTATGAAAAACACAAGTGTGTTAAATGAACGTGCGCAAACGAGCCCCACCCGGTGAAGCGATTATATATGTGTATAAAAAGTAAACTTTGCCTACGAAGCAATGAGTAATTTATTATACAAACGTACGCGCAGGGATAGGGTTTTATTACTTTAATGCTAGTAGTCTTAATAAATTATCTGGGATCAACTCTAATACCCATAGGTACTGGAAGAAAAGAATTGCTGGCAAAAGATCGCGCATGGCTCGTTAAAATATGCAGACGCTGCGAGAGAAAAGTAACTGAAGGTGATGAACCGAATCAAAATGGATTCTACTGCATATTTGGCACATAACTAATCAATTTTGATTGTACTAGTTATGTGTCATGCATACTGAACACCGCAAATATTGTATTAATAACGATTAAATTTTTGGGGGGGAACAAAGTAAATTGTACGTCATCAAATTTCTTTATGCGCTCAAGCACAACAGATTAAAGCTCTTAATTATATAAATTATGCAGAATATTTTTGCAGTATCTCATAAAATTATTGAGAAAGTGGCAAAACTTTGATCTATTACCATTGATATTTATTTATGAAATTGATAATATACAAGAGGCATAAACACAATAGCAAATAAATTTATAAATCGCCTGATTACATTTGCTTCTTTACTCCAGTTTGTTCGCAAAATGGACATACATCAAAATAAAATCTGTCGCGTTATCATTTGCTTGTATTATTAATGTCATTCGTCCGCTTTATAACGTTTAACAGTTCTTTAAAAATGTGAATATTCTATAGCATTGTTCGATTCCAGCGAATTGCTCACTTGTACCATGATAACCATATAAGTCGTAACGTTTTTCAAAATCTACAAACAAGAAAAGTTAGTGCATTTACAATACGATCGGCGTAGAATTATACAAATAGTTTCGATGCGATTTAAAGAAACTATGAAAAAGACGTTGAATCTTTTGAATTACATAAATTTGGTTGTCTTATATCAAAGTCGTTAATACGACGATCTATACGTAACAATTTAACACAAACCATGCTCAAGACACGATAATCCAAAGTGAAACCATCCACAGAGAATGTCATTGGACTTTGCAAAATTTGGATACCAAACTGTTGAATCTGAAACAATTGCGAGCGATAATTATATAATACAATAACACAAAAAGAAATTATTTTAATGTATAGTAATAAACAAACCTCTTCTCGCATATCAATATCTGCGTCGCAATCATAAATCGTACGAATGATCTCGGTAGTTCTGTTTCCCTACAAATACATAAATGTTATGTACATGTATCTTATTAAGATCGTTGATAAGATTTAGACGATAATGCACGACATAAATTACCTCATCGGCTGCACTCTTGCAACTACGATTCAAAAAGACAGCTTTCATAGTGTGAAGAGCACACATCGACAACATCAGAATCGTTTGGCTTACCAAACCTTTGACTTTGTGCTGGTTCATGAGGTATCGAATATACAAATTGTAAAGAGCTCCAGTGAGAGCCATGATAATTATTCCTATCTCCCACGCTATCTGTACTCCGAAAATAGCGCATACAATTTTTGATACTTTACACAACTCCAAGTGCACCTGTCTTAAAAACACTCAAAAATAATAAGAATTTTTTATTTAAATCCCTTTCTTCTTTTTTAAAAAAGTTTTTTGGAAATTTGACTTAAACTTTTTCAAACGTTTGCATACAATCACAAATTATAATGTGTGCAAATGTGTTAACGGCAAAAAGTGATTAAATTTGATTGGTTTTTACACTGAGAAAAATTTTTATCGGATAAACCAATTAAATAGTATGTCCGATGGTTAATTTTTCCGATTACTTTTTCCGATTAAATTATGGATATATCCGATGAAATTTATCCGATGAAATGCAATTACCG